TACGTTTACGTTTTTAGTTTTAGGTTGGTAGTTATTAGTTGGTAGTAGTAGGAGGACTTCGGGGTCGGTTCGTAGACGTTACCTTCGTCTACTTGTCTGCGTCGTAGGTACGTCTCTCTCTCTCTCTCTCTCTCTCTCTCAATTTTCATGGTTGGGTTTCTTTAGGTTACATAAATTTCCTGTCGTAGAAATCCCAAAACCAAAATCTCCATGAAAATGCATTTAAAATTGAAGGAGTCTTTTATAAAAGGTGAAAGTTTTTGTTTTTGTTTTACTCTCTGATGGGAAGGGATGTTACAGCAAGAATGGATGCTTAAATTTTGAGATCCATGAAAAGCTTTCTTCTAACGAAATTTGGATTCATGTGCAACTTTAGAATTGCCATTTCTCAGTTCACCAACCAATTGAAATTGGCGTAATGCGCTTAAAAGAGGTTAGTTGGTCGTTTAATAATTGGAGGAGGAAAATTGCATTGTTGAGAGGACACATTTATAATACTCACCTATCGGTTGCTGTAGGAAAGAGGGAGAAAGGAAATAAACAAACCTGAATAATAAAAGAAAGGTTCTGGGTTTGCAAAGATCCCACTCCGTAGTTTGAGAGATTTGACCATCTTCAGGCTAGCAAGGGAGTCCACCCCAAAAAGATACTTTTACAAGAACTAACAAAAAAGAAAAGAAAAGAAAAGAAAAGAAAATCAAATCTTTATCTTCCTCTTTCTTTGTCCAACAGTACACTTACATATTTGTCATATAAAAAAACCTTGAAAACCTAACTTGCATACGAAAATCTACTCACTATTAAACCCTAGACTTTCATCTTTTCAAAATTAAACATCCAACTCTAGCCCTCAATTCTCTACGGCAACAAAAAACACATGAATGCCCATGCCCTCAAGAAATGAAAAAATTAAGGGACCAAATAATCGAGGCTCCTGAGAAGCATCTAATAAAATAACAAAATAGAAAATCCTAGCTCCTCCGCCGGTTGTTTGCGTGGTTGTAGTATCTGAGGCCAATGTGGTGGGAAGAGGCAATGGATGGTGGACCACTTCAGTAGCCACTGAACTGAACATGTTCAAGAATCAAGACCGATGAAATTTAGGGGGAAAACAAATTTTCGACCTGGGAAAATATGCCACAACCAATACTTAGTTGAGAATGTGGAACTTAAACTTTTGAAACAATCTTGACCTTGATCAATGTGTGTATAGGAATCTTGTGCTCTGATATCTTGTTTTTCTGTTATCCTTAAAAAGAAGCATGGCTTTATAATGGCAAGGTAATCTTATTAAAGAATGGCAATTTAGTGAGAAAGGAAAATGTGTCCACTTAGTTGTATATGTGGTAAATATAGAAGATTCTCCTCTTATGTGGTTGGTTCATTCTTAATGCATGGCATGTTAGATTAGATACTATAATTTAGGTGTCATACCTAAATGTGTTGATGACCATAGTGATAATTATGGGATGGAATGTTGGACAGTCAAGAAATAATATATCCATAGGATGAGCATAGCTGAGATGAGGATATTGAGATGGATGAGTGGCAAGACAAGAAAGGATAGAATTTAGAAATGAATAAATACGAGGGAACTTAGGCGTGGCTTAATAGGTGATTAGATGATGGAAAGTAGGCTTAGGTGGGTGGTCATGTGTAGCGTAGGCCTAATACAACACCGGTTAGGGGGTGCGATTTGGTTTAAGTGAAAGGCTCTAAAAGGGCAAGGGGAAGGTCCAAAAGGACATGGATAGAAGTACTGAGAGAAGATATGACGACTTTGATCTTACTGAGGGCATGGTCCTTGATAGAGAAGAATGGAGGGATATGCTTTATGTAGCCGACCCCAAATAATTGGGATAAGGCTTGGATGAAGAAGATGATGATGATGGCCATAATGAGAATCATAAAGTGTGTTTGCAATCCAAGATCACTAGAAAACATTTCCTTAATATGAAAAAATTAGGAGTTATTATGTTTTAGTTCATGGTGATATTTGTGTCTTAAAGAACATCATGATCCATCGAGTATCCATTGGATTATTACTTTATTGGTAAAGATTAAATCTGAAGCATTAGAAACATTTTTAAAATATAAGCAGCAGTAAAGAAATAATAAAATAAGAAAATAGAAGTTCTTGAAGTGATAGAGGTGAGGAATATACGTCACATGCACTCTCTGGTTTTTCTGAGTCAAATAAGAGTTATTCATCAAGTTATAGCACCTTACACTTTATAACAAGATAGGGAAGCAAAGAGAAATAGTAAATTGGTAGAAACGATTAACTGGTTAATTCTATGCTTGTGACTGCATGCTGTGTTTTGAATAGAGTTCCCATGTTAAGACTAATGTTTTTCTTGGAGAGGTGCAAGAATAAATTAGAGCATTGGGGTACCTAGCTTATGTTAGGTTATCTGCCTTCAAAGAACCAAATTATGACCTAAAACTATAAAATGTGCATTTGTCGGTTAAGATGCTTAGACCTTGATTCAAATGTAAGTGTTATGCACAATCTTTTATAAATGTTTTTCCTAAAAGTGGGGAATGAAGAGCATAGACATGATGGTATTGTTAATAATGATGAATTCCATGCTAATCCTGGAATTGTAGAAATTAAACGAGCAAAATGGTCAGGAGAGAAACTAATTTTGGACCTGGATTCTATGCGTTTCTGACGAAGATTTGATCCAACTACTTATAGTGAAGCTATAATATCCATAGATGCATCTTTTTGGGAGATGCTATTGGTGATAATATAAAATCTATTACTGCTAATGAAACATGGAAACAAATGGATTTACGTCTTGGTTCAAAAACCATTGGATGCAAATGGATTCCAAGAAGAATTTAAAAGCAGATAGGTATTTGGGTGTGTTTTTTATCCATTAAGAGATCAGCATGATCCAACATGGCATTCAATTCAAGGTCGAAGATGCGTCAGCCCGGACATGGCACGAAGCCCTGGAATCAGCACATGTGGCCACATATCCATCCTCCAACTTGGCACAAGGCCTAAGGGTGAACACATCTAATCCCTCGAACTTGGCACGAAGCCCTGAGGGGTAACATATCCACACCTTTGAACCTAGCACAAAGCAGTAGGGCTGAACGTCACAGTTCTTTTGCAGCTTACATGCCACATCCGGCGAAGTTCGGATAGTTGGCGACCGGCACGCTGCATAAGCCCAACCTCTAGTCTATGCAAAACCATGTCCATTTGACCCTAAATGGAGCCAAGCTCAGGGAATATTCAAGTTAGGGTCTAGGTAGCCACCTCACAAAATTTCATCGAATTCAAACACTTGGGTAGTATACTTGTTATAAGCTGGACTGGACCGCTCATGGTTTGGGGGCATCCCTCGTAGACCTGCTGAATGGTCTCAAAATGAGATGAAACTTGGAAGGTCTTCAAGATATGACTCAAAGGACCTTTTCACACATTTTGGCATTGTTCCAAAAAATGCTTGGCGGTGCCTAGGTGGTCCTGGCCACCCATTGCCTAGGAAGATGCCCAAATTTCTAGGCGACCTAGGTCGAAGAAGAGGACTAGGGGAATATGGGTATACGACTATTAGACTGTGCCTTTTAACACAGATATGAGTATATGATGATATCACATTCACACATCATAAAATATTAAAAATCCCATAATCCAAAGTTCCAAACCAATGTAATAGACTACTGGCACAAACACAAATAAAATATAATAGTAATAGAGGCACAATCCATACTCCATACTCCATACGCCATAAACCATACTCCACGCTCCATAGTCCATATCATTTCATAATCCATAGTTCCACACAATGACTAACATACGCATAAGAGTAGAAAATAAGAAAAAGAAAATATACACTCGAAGTTGACGATTGATTGCTTGTCTCTTTGGTTTTAGCCTTTTGGTGTATTTTCTTTAAACATATCTTCAAAACGTGCATTTAACCTGCACAATAGGTTCATTGGTGCATTTAAGTGTTGTTTGGGTTGCCAAGGAAAAGAAAGGCTTTGATTAATTTAATATTTGTGCTTTTGTTGCTTGCATAGCTCCTATCGAATGGGTGTCAAAACTTATTTTCTAAATGGAGAGTTACCAAATGGGAATTTTATGAAATTATTCATAAGAGATTAACAGTTTAACACTTTACCTATATCTTTTGATTTAATTTCAAAATACCCATAAAAATAGACATGGTCTTGAGTTGGAATAGTTCCAAAAAGGTTAATTATTGAATGGTTTATCTCTTAAGGGTATCTTGATAAATTTCCCTCACTAGGTTTATTCGACTTAATGAACTTTTGAAAGCCAGATTCTTAATAAAACAATGTCCTCTCCCTTCTTGAAAATATTTCTTCCATACTGAAATTAATGGTTTATATGTCTTTTGTTCCATGACATTGTTCCTTCTTGTTTTCTTGTGCTTTTGTGTGGATTTATGTTACAATAAAAGCTTCATCTTTTAGTGTCAGTTGGAGTGATCATTTTATGGAATGCTTTAGCAAGATATTTGATGAACTGTTAGTTATGCAGCTAGAATATTTCTTTCCATTCTAATATAACTGATCCAGGGTTGTAGTTGCACAGAGCACTATAACTCAAATCTCTAACAAGAAAAATATAAATTTTCGCTTTCTTTTGTATGTTACAAAGCATCTATTAACAGGAACATGATTCCTTTTAAGATTAAGAAAAACATATAGATTCACTTCCTTTTGGTAAGTTACAAAGCCTCTATTAACAGGAACACAATTCCTTTTAAGATATTGTAAAACATAATTCAATGGATTGTAGAAAAACGGCAGTCCTTTGGGTAATCACCGTTCGATGAAGAGAGGACAGTGATGAACAGAGGTATGACCCACCGGAGCAGGACACAATCATTGTTACAAATTGCCTTAGGACGTTACAAAGATACATTCATTGCTCTTGGATGGTACCTTTATGAATGTTCCATTATGCCATTCATGGCTGAAAAACAGCCCCACTATGCTAATTTTTGCTTAAGGCTCCAATCTACCATTGATGATTTTCATTTTACATGAGCTGCCAAACTAACTCATCCTTGAGCTGATTTTTTCAGGTTTTTCTTCCTCATCGAGTCATTCTTCTACGTGGGAATCATGAATCCAAGTATTGCACATCCGTATATGGTTTCGAGCAAGAAGTCATGACCAAATATGGGAATCAAGGAAAACATGTGTACCGAAAATGCTTGGGGTGCTTTGAGGGACTTCCCTTGGCCTCTGTCATTGCCAACTCTGTTTATACAGCTCATGGGGGTCTATTCCGAGAAATGACTATTACTCCTTTGAAGAAGCATAAGGGAAGGAAGAGGAACAAACGGTTGTTCTCTTCTGAACCGAAATCTCTTGCTCTTGGTTCTTTGGAGGAGTTAGCCAAGGCAAGGCGCACAGTTCTTAACCCTCCTTGGGAGGGACCCAACTTGATACCAGGCGATGTTCTTTGGTCAGATCCTTCAAATACCCCTGGTCTCTCACCAAATACAGAGAGAGGAATTGGTCTTCTATGGGGTCCTGATTGTACTGAACAATTCTTAAAGAAGTATAAGTTAAAGGTAAGAATCCGAAAGCTTGGGTTTCTTGTTAAACGTTCTTTCTGCATTGGATGGATACCTAAAATTATTTCCTTTCTGGGGTTATTTGTTTTATAGTTCTAGTTTGTACGTATGGCCTAAGACATAGTATATGAAATGCGAGTTTAAGAATAATAGGAGTAGAGATGAGGAAGTAGTTAAGATTGACGGTCAGGAAATACCAAAAAGAGCGCACTTTCGATATCTTGGGTCGATAATCCAAGAAAATGGAGAGATTTGGGAAGATGTCACACATATAATTAGAGCTGGGTGGGCAAAGTGGAGATTTGAATCGGAATTTTATGTGATTGCCGCATACCAATGGAGTTGAAAGGCAAGTTCTATAGGACAGGTGTGAGACCAGCTTTGCTCTACGAGACATAATGTTGCGCAGTCAAAAAAAAATATACCCATAGAACGAGTCTAGCGGAGACGAGGATGTTGAGATGGATGAGTGGCAAGACAAGAAGGGAAAATTTAGGAAAATTTAAAGTGAAGTGAATAAATTTGGGAAAATTTAGGCGTGGCACCAATAGGCGATAAGATGAGAGAGAGTAGACTTAGGTGGGCTGGCCATGTGTGGCGTAGATCTAGTACAACACCTATTAGGAGGTACGAGTTAGTTCAAGTGGAAGGCTAAAAAAGAGCAAGGGGTAGGCCCAAAATGATATGGTTGGAAGTAGTGAGAAAAAATATGGGAACTTACAGCCTCACTGAGGGTTTGACCCTTAATAGAGCAAAATGACGAACCAGGATTTCTATAGCCTATCCCAATTAGTTGGGAAAAAGGCTTCCACGATGATGATGATGTTGTGCTTATGGCCAAAGGTTTAGTGGTTGGCAACAAGCCGTGTCAGCCCTGGCTTGAGTCCAGTCTGATTCCCTATATGGATGGCATGGCCATCCTGGACCAGTCCAGGCTCTTTGGGCCTAGGCCTGGTTTGGGATGTGCCCAAGTCTCAAAAGAAAAGGAAAAAATAAAAAAGGAACATAAAGGAAAAAATAAAAAAGGAACATAGGCCATGTCGGGGCAGCACTGTCGTGGCCAGGCCATGCCTGGCCATCGAGCCATGGCAACTCGGCCCTCTGGCCACAAAATGTAGCCCAGGCCCTGGTTCATTTGTGCTAGGCTGACCAGGCCACCTGATCCATTCCCAACCCTAGCCTAGATAATCCACTTGAGGGTGTTTGACTCTTATACAACAAGGTACCATATTTAGATTCTTTCTTTCATTATGGACTTGTCTTTTTAATTTTTGGTCTTTTGTTGCAGCATAAAATTGCCTTAGTTAGTGAATTCATATCACAAAAGTTCCTATTCCAATCTCGTGCGTGCGTGGATGTACATGCGTGAAATTATTCAAGGCTTCGAAATGATTAATGCTAATTTTAGAGTTATGTGGTTGCTGAAGTGCAGTTAATTGTCAGATCTCATGAAGGACCAGATGCAAGAGAAAAAAGGCATGGGTTTTCAGGGATGGACAAGGGTTACACAATCGATCATGAGGTGGAATCAGGAAAGCTGATCACCCTTTTCAGTGCTCCGGATTATCCACAGTTTCAGGTTTTCCTCCAGCACTTTACTTATTGGGAAAGTTTGCTATTAATCCAATGGACCGTGGAAAATCATTACCCATTGAGTCATCACCATCCAATGAAATGGACAGTGATGGAGCGAAAAATGGGATCCTTCAGGAAAGGCATAGCCCAAATTGCGGGTCTGACGATTTCTTTATCACTGTCCGTCACTTCATTGGACGATGGTTGTGACAATGAAAACCATGGTGCATTAGATGATGATATCCTTTCGCATTTCTTTCTTAGGTAGATTACTCATGAAATGGATACTACGCCTTCTTGAACTGAATTGAATATGCTTAGAAGTTAAATTTTTTGTGGAAATACACTAAAAAGTGAAAAAAGAAATATGTTTTGACTTTTTTTTTTTTTTAAGGATTTCAGGCTGATCATTTAGCTTGAAAATTGTGATCGTCTAGTTTTGGTTATGTTTTTGGCATCACCATTGGTTATGTTTTGGCATCACCATTTTGGACCATTCGATTAACCAGGGTTGGACAACCTTATGCAAAAATCCTAGTGAAATGTAAAACTACGGCTCAATTGTAATTATTTATATGTCGAAAACCAGAAATTCGCTTTATTTCTCCCATTTTCTTGTCAGCTTCATTTTCTTCCACTCACCATATGCTTGGAACATCTGAACAGGCCACAGATGAGCGCTATAACAACATGGGGGCTTACATTGTATTGGAACCCCCTGATTTTGCTTCCCCAGTTTTTCACAGTTTTGAAGCAGTCAAGCCAAGGCCAAAGGTAAGGATGGCACACATTTTTTTTCTTCTTCTGTTTTTTACATTTTTATGGTTATGGTATGGAATGTTTATATAGTAGGGTTCACATGACTTTCTTATAGTATCTCCACACACCCTTCCCCCAGTCATCTCTTGTTGACATCGGATGGTTAAGTAGGAAACTTTACGTTGCTTATTGAATGCTTTCCTATGTAATGTATGGTATTAATGGGCAGCATGTGCCATCCTGGGCATGATCCTGGTGAGCTCATATAACATGGCGTGATCCTTTTTTTTTTGTTTGGGGTGGGTTTAGGGGGTGGGGGGGGGCATTGGGGTTTGGGGTTTTGGCGTGGAGGCCATGTATTTCAAAGTGGTGAAAAAAAAGGTTGTGTAGCTTGGTCATTATCAAATTGTAACGAGATGAGTCTAGCCAGTAGTTTGGAGATAGTGGAAGTATATCATACGCCATGCTTTTATTGTATGTGAAATATGGCATGGAGGCACCCATCGTTCATTTATGATGGTGGTGGGCATTGAGTGCTTCCCGGCGATGGGGAACTAGAGATACAGTTCATCTCCACCATCCATTATTGTCAGTGGATGGTGGATAGCCCATTATATGTAATACCCATGGTATGTTTCTCTTCATATGAGATTCTCTTATGAAGTTCCGAAGATGTCATGCCAAATTCACTCCCTTCTCAAGAACCCTATCCAAAAGTTTAGGATTGGAGAAAGACTCCAAAATTGGATGATCAGAGCTAAGCGTCTATGAATAAACAATCTTCTTCTTTTTTTTTTATAGGAAATCTATCAAAATTCAATCAACTATTTAACATTTTATCCATTTTTAACTATTCCCACTCATGATCATGTGTAATTTAATGGACTTTTTGAAATAAAATAAAAATAAAACAAAAATATCGTAAAATACTTAATAATTTGTCTCTTAGGAGCATTTCAATTACCTTTTATACTTGTATGGTGATTCTGAAGTGTTTTCCAGACTTCTGAATTGAGAAGATAAGTCATTTACTTGAGGGAGTAAGTGCATAGTGCGCTCTTGTATGCTATATGCACTCGAACTTCATGATGGCAAACTTCAAAATGATATGGTAGGCCTGTTTGGATGACAATTGATTTTATTTGGACTATCGTATCATATCTAAAATTAATATAACCTGCGTGATATTATTTTTTTAGCTGTTTGGCATATACCTTGTATTATGTAAAATATACATTAATAATTTTACATTTTTAGTGAGTTTCAGCAATTTTTAGCTATTCTGGCGAGAAGCATGTGATTTCAAATTACCGTCGATGAAGCAAAAACAACTTTTTTAAAAATAAACTTGTATGTAAAACTGCTTATAAGTATATCTTTGATGACTTTATAATGGACATTGCCAAACAACATATAATTCATTATCAATGGATTATATAAGTTTTACTGAAACAATTAATTATCAGTCATAACGAGTACACCCAAACAAGCCTATAATGTCACACCCATAGTTGTCGGGTGTGGGAGCTGACTCGGGTCCACAAAATCGTGGATTGTTGGAAGCTCCTTGTGGTGATCCTTGTCTCAGCGAAGCGCGATTCCATGAGGAAGGAATCACTATAAGTTCTAAGGGATCGCGAATGATGTATGGGTTCACAGTACCATTGGGCACAAACCTGAATCGGTGCATATGAATCACTGCCAAATAGAGATGCCAAATAGAGAAAGCATCATACGCACTTCATCATACACTTGAGAACCGCGGTTCAAACCTGCTGGGAACGATGACCACAATATATGGATCCGTGTTCCATCCTAGATCCCTAGCTGGAATTGTGGGATCGAGGTTCCGGAGCGGGTCCGTGACCTTTCTTGCAGGGGTCCAGCAACTATGGTCACACCTTCATTCCCCCTTCACCAAACCAAGAGACTAAATCAATTAGAATAGTTTGTTTGGCCCTTTAAATTAAATTGGTGCCTTGGATTTATTTATTTACAGAAACTTCTGCCTGCTTACCTAACATGCAGGACGCCTAAGAATTACAAATAGAAAACAAAAGGAGTAGGAAAATTAACAAAGAAAGAATTACAGTATCTATCTCTACTGATTTACAGTGAATTAGCAAAAGGACCCGGTTTCTATGCAGCCAAGCCCACATGTATAGAAATGCGGGACTCTTAATAAATCTATTTTTGAGATAGATTTTAAGACTTAATTTTTAAGGACTTGTAATCTCTAACATGGAGATCATCAATATAAAAAAATAAGTAAATTTTAAAAACTAAACATAATAATTATAGTAAAAAAACATTGAGATCGTTAGTTTCAATTGTTTTTAGATGGAACACCTACTTATATCTATCTTTAAAATGGATGCTTTACACTTTCTGGACTGCATATGAAGAAATGTGGTCCAGCCCTCATGAAACAATTTTCCTTAGCTAAAACCCTTGCATTGGCCAATTGGTAGCATCCTGATTACTCTCTCTGTACACATCTAGATTGAACCACTTTTCCTTCACATAAAGACTTGAATGAGTTTACAAGGTATCCTTTTCTCTTGTTTGCACCATATTGTACTACTCAATGAATCTCCTTTCGAAACAATATGCGTCCTTCTCTCCTCATTCACTTCATCGATGTGCTTAAGCCATTATTGTTTGCATTATCCTCTTCTCTTGTTTGCACCATATTGTATCACTATATGAATCTCCTTTTATAAGAATATGCATCCTTCTTTCCTCATTCACTTCATCAATTTGCTTAAGCCCCTGTATCAAAACCTGGACTTCATCCTTGTTTGTTGTCTCACTCCTACATTCCTTGAATAAATCATTATTATTCACATACTGATCGCTTATTAGAGGTCCTATTCCTGCTTGTTTGGGATTCCCCCATCGTCTCTTATCAAAATTGGGTTTAATCCATCCATGTGCAAGGGACACCCCTCATATGTTCTAGTTTTACGAATCTCACTTATCTTAACCCTTGTCCATAATCTCCCTTTTTGATATTCCCCGAAACTCTTTTCTATCTAATAGATTGTCATCAAAGCCTCCAAGACTTTCTTTCGCTTCATCTATCTTTGCAATGTACTATAATTGGTTTACTCTGGGTACTCTAGCTTTCAATTCTATTGTTGTTACCAACTGATTTATTTTTATTTGTTACAATAAATTGTCCATATAGAGCAATAAATTTTTTCTTATTTCTTTTTTGTTTTCTTCAATTACTTTGCAGGTTAATGCGTACTATGACTATGTGGAGGTAGTCGACTCTGATGAAGACCTCAATTTAAGATCCTTAAAGGATGACTGAGATTCTTGGTGTATTTAAATAAAAATTTAATCAGTATTTTCTTATTTTTTCCATATTTATTGTATTTCTACCTTTTTCGCTTTTTTTTTTTTAGGCATATATGAGTTATCATATTTTTGTATGGAAAAAATTACATGGCCTGAAAATTGATCCACAGAAGGCTTATTTTTTTTGTAATGTTCAGTGTGTGAAATGTTAAAATATGATAGCAGAATACTGTTGAAAGTTAGAGAAGTGTGATTTCCATGTATTTGGTGTTGGCAGGCCCTAATATCATGAAAAAATGAATTTGATTTTGGGATTTCTTAGCATGTATTCTATAGTGGTTACTTTGTTTTACTCCAAGTTATGAACATTTTAATCCTTTTGCTGTATAGGGCAATAAATATTTAGACTCTATGTGTGTGTATATTTGGTGCAGCTTATATAAGGTGCCCACCTTTCAATTGAAGTAAGGCGCACCTCTGAATTCTCCCCGATGATGCAATTTTGGTGCCGGAAACTCTTATGTTGGCTTGAAAATCTGAGTTCACCTGTAATTATGAAATATAAAATTAAAAAAATGTTGAAGGATCAAGATGATCCATAAACACTTGAAAATCTTAAGAGTAGATGTTCTAGGTAATTTGGTACAAGATATTTAATTTTAAAACTTGATTTTTTTTTCAATGTTTATATTTAGTATCTTTAGTTCCTTCCTTGCTTATTTCCCTTTAGCGGAATCAAACTGGAGGCATCTTTGTGGTTATATTATTTTATAAGAGATGTATATAATGAGACTATTTATTTTTGATACAAGAAGGTTACAATCATTGTCAACCGTTGGATGTGAAATTGGATGGGTGTGATGTATCATTGATTGAGCACAAAATTCGAAACAAATTTATTCTCAAATTCTATAATACATTTTAATGCGTTAGATTTCATGGCGAAGCGACCATGTAACATCTCATAGTATACCATCCCCATTTTATATTTTACACTTGAAAGTATTGTAATATGGTTGTCCAAAAAGTTAGAAAGTTGCTTACAAAATATGATTAATAAGGGCTTATTGAGTTGCATGATGACATTATACAAATTTTGTCGTGATTGCTGTAAAGAAGTGCCATTTGGTAACCTTGAAAAATACGCACAAGTAGTGAAAAGTGAAAATATTGTGACAGGTTAACTCTATAGGTTAAAATTACCTAAATATCTAAAAATGGCCATGCCATGATGTCCATCGCGAAGGAACTGATTCAAAAGATGGAGAATAATACATAATGGAATATGTATTATGCAGATTTTTCTTGAGAGAGAGAGGGGTGGCAACGGGTGGATCCAGGTCCAGGTCGACCTTGATCGACTAGGTTTCACCCAGTCCAGGGGCCGATACAGACTTGGGTTGGTATGAGTAACTTGGACCTGGACTTGATCTGGGTCCAAGCGACTTGGAACTTTTAAAAATAAAAAAAATTAATTTTCTATATTATTTTGCACTCGTTAAGAGACAGAGATATGGGTGGCAACGGGTTGGGTCAGGGTCCGGGTTGACCTTGAGCAACTAGGTTTCACCCGGATTAGGACCTGACACGAACCCGGGGTCGGGTGCGAGTGAGTTGGACTTGGACTTGACCCGGACTCGGGCCTAGGTCCAAATGACTTGTAAATTGTAAAAATAAAACATAATTTTCTCTATTATTTAGTATAGCGTTATATTGAGTCAGTGGGGTAAGGTTGACCCCTACGCGACGCGATCTGTCCCGACCTAGTAATAAGCGTACGACTCTAGGTCCCAAACCTTACCTGGGTTAGGTCCACGTCATATGTAACCAACCCCAACATGAAGGGTCCAAAATAAAGACTTGTAGCACAAGACCTTGTTCGGGTCGACTTACCCGACTGCCACTCTAGATAGAGAAGGTCACCTTAAGTTGGATGTGACCTTGACAAAAGTCACAAACCCATCATAATTTGGAGCATCACATTCAAAGGGTGCCTGGTAGATGTAACCACCCAAGTATTGGTGGAAGGCTTGTAGCACAGAGGTACAAGAAAATTAGCTAATTGGGCGATTACTAAGGGTTTGATACACTTAAAATTATTTTGTGAAAGTATGTTTACATGAAATAACTCTTTTATGTAATTAGGTGTGAGAGTTTTTTCATATCAATTGGTTCCATGATTTTTTTTTATACCAATTGGTAGTGAATTGGTGTCAAAAAACTTATACACCTAATTACATGGTGGGTTCTTTTATTGGAAAATACTTATGCAAAAATATTTTTACAGGTGCCAAATGTGCCGCAGAGGAACTGTATACAATGAGATCATTTACTTTTGATACGAGGAGGTCACAATTAGTATTAACTATTGCATATAGAATTGGATGGTTGGAGATGTATCATTGATTGGTACAAAGCCACGATGTCTAAAATAAAAATTTTCGAATATTATCACTTTTTTTTGACAATAATACCGTAACACACTTCTTTTTTTTTTTTAATAAAAATTGTGACACATTTCAATATGTTATATTTCACATCCAATGGCTAAAATTGATGGCGACCTCCCCATAATTAAAATAATGGACTATATACAATGATGTGGTGTATATCAGGATGGTACACCTATATGACTATTGAACTCAACTAGAGGCGAACACGCCATCAATGGTAGATGCACCTATATGACAATTGAACTCAACTAGAGGCCAACACACCATCAATGGTAGATGCGTGTGCCTCCATTGTATACAAGCATGCTACGATGGTTCACTGGATCAAGTGTTTTATGAAATTGATTTGGGAAGTTTTTGGCATGTATTCTATAGTGGTTATTTTGTTTACTCCTAACTAATTAACATTTTAACCCCTTCGCTCTTTAGGGCAATGCTATATTTTAATGGTGATGTTCACAAGGTTGCATCTCTCTCTATCTCTATCTCTATCTCTATCTCCCCTTTCAAATGCATCTATTTGTCAAGCATCAAGCAAGGGTGGAATTGAGCCAGGTGGCCTGCTCAGAGCGACTAGGATCTGGGCCACAAAATATGACACGAAGCAAGGCTCGGCCCGCATTTCGTTATTTATTTTTACTTTATTCAACTTGGGCCAATCTTGGCCGTCCAGTCCAAGCAGGGTCAAAGCCTGAACTGACCCTTAAGAGAGTAAGCCAGGCCAGACCAGGCTTGGTCAGTTGCCGGCCCTATTTTCAACTTCATGACCTTGACGGTCAGGTCCCTGCACTTAAAACTCTTCCGATTTTCAAACCACGTGCTCGCTACGTTCCACACCAATCCAGATTTATGTCCACAAGAAACTACATGATCTGACCTGATATATTATATATATACAAAAAAAAAACTTACAAATACAACCACAACCACAAAATCAACACTAAAACAATTTCGATAGACTTAAAATCGGAAAATGTATACAATGGCACCATTTACTTTAGATATGCAGTGGCCACAATTAATCTTGACCATTGAATCGTGAAATTGAGTGGCTGCATTTATTTTATTGACAAAGTTCAAATTTCAAAAGAAATTTTTTCAAACTATATAACGTACCAAAGCCATTAGATTTCATATCGGATGGTTATAAATAATTCTGACTTACGTGCATGAAAGGTAAATGGTTTCTTTGTATACAATCCCTTAAAATTAAAAGCCCTTCACCCTAATCTGAGCTCGAGATCAAGTTCTTCAACGGTCGAATCTTCTGTGATTGCAGCTTCAATTCCCAAACTTGTATCCGTCAATCCAATATCAACATCAGAAGTGAACGTTATCGGCTTTTGATATGGAATAGAGTTGCAGGAATTTTGGCCAGAAATTGGATTCATGAATGTGAATTTCCTACTGATGGAAGGAACTTGGTGCAGGAAGGTAGATGGGCCTCCGGAAAATTGTCGGCCGACAGAGTTACAGAGTCGGGCTCGGTCTCGACGGTGAAGGTTCATGTGGCCGCCTAAGGCCTGAGCTGTGATGAATCTACGGCCGCAGAAGAGGCACTTGAATGATCTTCGAGGCCGTGTCTTGCCAGCCTTTACAACTCCATCCATTTGAGAGAGAGAGAGAGAGAGAGAGAGAGAGAGGAGGTAGGTAGTAGTAGTAGTATAGTGTGTAGAGAGAGTAGTAGTTACGTACGAACGTAACGTAACGTAACGTAACTAACGTTCCGTTAGTTGGTTAGTAGTAGTAGGA